CTGCGTTATGGCTCCGGTGGGGGAAGGAAGTAACCGTGAGCCCTCAGACTGCAGCGTGAGGGGAGGGACCTCCCCCGCACCTCCATATTCCGCTGCTCTCGGCGTGCTTCGGTACGGGGGTTCCCCGCCGTCCCGGGCCGCGGGAGAGCCCGCCCGTGCCGGGCCGCGCCGCGGGAGGAGCGCTTTGTCACTCCGCAGCGGCCCCGGGAAGGAGCTGGAGGGGCTCGCTTGAAGCCCCGGTGGTGTCTTCGTTGTAGATCTGGACGCGGTGGGAGGGTGAATGGCTGATCAGCCTCCCCGGCTGAGCTGCTGAGCCACGCAGCGGTGTTGGCTCTCCGGCCAGAGGAGGTTGGGCTCTCTTTCACCGACTCTTCAGCGGGGGGGAAGGGGCGAGAAGGCCTTACTTCTCACAGGGAATTCCTGGCCCGTAGGAACGTGCCTAGAAGTTGAAGACCTAATACGTCACTTCCAAAAAGAACAGCTTTCTAGTCCCGTTGAAAAGTTCTTAAAGTAGCTACGATCACGCAGCTGGTCATTTGAACCATATGTTGGGTCAATGTAAAGGCTGTAGAGCCTAAGAGTTTGTAAATACGCTCAAGACTTGCAGCAGGTAAAGCGGAAATCAAAAAAGAATGTGAAAGATGATCTTTTACAGTCTTAATTTTATTAGAGAGAAAACTTGAGGGAATTAAAATGAAGCATGTCACTGGCTCCTTGCGTGCTATCACAGTCTTGTAAATACCTAAACCGAGTGCTGTAAATGAAGCATTCTTTCGTTACTAATTGTTCCTGTGGTTAGCATCTGTAGTTAAAATGCTCTGAATGCTTTCATTATTGGGGCATATCTGGACCCAGATTATACACCTTTGGCCATGTTAGTATTGTTAAACTGGGTAATCTTCCCCACTTGAAGCGTGACTGCATTTTTTTTCCTGCTTTCCTGTATGAAAGCAGTCTCTACTATCAAATTCATTTATAAGTATTTAATATGTAAAAGAGAATAAACTATCCTGATGAGAGCTACGTATACCTATATGACTTCACTATTAAGGAACTGCACCCTCCTAATTATAGCAAGATCAGTTTGCCACCCAACAGAGTGTACTGCTTAACGAAAAAAGTGCCTTTATGCGCATAAGAGTACTCTCTACACAGCTACGTATTAACTATTAATGTTATTGATTATTTTTTATAAATAAAACTTGCTTTAATGACATACTTGATGTTACAGCTGCATATATCTTGCAGTGGACTTTGTGAACTGTAAGTACTATTCAAATTGCAGTTTGATTTTGCTTTTGAAGCGTAAATAGCTGGTAAAATGGATTTGTGGTGGAAAAGCTACCTGCTTAACTAAAACCATATAGCATGACAAGCTATTTTGTTGGCTTTCTCAAAAGACTCATTCAAATACTCTGTCTTGTTAGTTGTCTTCTGGAGTTGGCTAGTCAAGCTGAAACTCTTAGTAAAGGATATATGGTAGAAGATGAAATTTTAAGTATGTTCATGTAGTATATACAAAATTAGTAGAACTGGTTGGCATTGCTGTTAGCTAAATAAGTGAAGAGAATACATGTTTGAGCTAGGTTATTTTTAATAGCAAAACTTGTCACCCAGGTATAGAAGATTACTACCTTTTGGGCAGATGTAATGGTATCAGCATAAAAATATGCTTCTGTATATTCAGTAGTTTTACTTATATAACTCTGGACCAGACCCTAATCAAAAGATACCGTAAAAAAGAAAAATAATTTTCCCTGCAGCATTTTACCTTTATTTTAATCTGGCTGTTTTGAATGTTTATTATGGGGAACACAAGCTGGGGGCTGGGGACGCAGAGGGAGAAGACTCAGCAGAGCAACTTTAATCCCTAAAGGTTTTGACCCTGAGCAGGATTGCTCTTGTGTCGTAAGGCCGCGTGTGAAGCTTGTTTTGCCACGAGTCATCGCTTTGTTCCAGATTTTCTGGTTTCTATACTGCTACAACCTGCAATTTTTTTTTGTATGAACTCAATTTTACTTACTAAATTGCCTTTCGTGATACATTTTGTTAGAGTGTATTCTGTAATGAGTTTTATAGAAATGTCTGTCTGTTACGTTAAATTTTGGGCTCTTCTTTTCAGGCACACTTGCTGCCAGTTGTCACTGTGCCACCTCTCTTCCAGTGGGGGAGGGTGAACAGTAAGAGCGTGCACAAGACATGCAATAATAAGAAATCGGAAGTTCTACCTGTAGGCAGCTTCAAACCACAGCTCCTTTGTATTTCATATCTTCCTTTTGTCTATCTTTCTGTCCCCTACCTCCTACATCCTTATGTAACAAGGCCTTGTTTCAGGCCTAATTAACTATGTTACCATGGGGGTGGTGGGGGGGGGTGGGGTGGTTTGAAGGATAGATGGATTTTTGTCACCTCTTGCTGTTTAACAGCATCCTAGTATTTTATTTTTTTAATCCATTGTGTTTTACCAGAGCATTGCAGAACAGCCTGTAGAGGCTCATCATCTTTAGAACATTTGTCTAGCTTGCTTGTTAATTTTACACTGAATTTTCTAAATAAAAATCATTGCTAGTAAATCAGCGCCCATTAGTAGGAACAGAAAAGTTTGTTAACAACTCGGTATGATGTATTTTGTGGTTAATTTCTATGACACTTCTCTTGTGTGTGC